ATGTTGTTTATGTGTTAGATTATCTTAAATTTCAAATTAAGTTTGTTCTTGAATGAATATGGAATATAAGGGTACATAAGAACATAAATTCGATTTCACGGTTAAGTAGTTATATTTATGCACGGTTAGAGGATGTCTCATAGCATGTCTCTGTATGCTCAAAGGATAAACGAGTAAATCTCAAACGCCAAGATACGTGGAATAAATGTGCACTTAAATTCGCTTTCACGGCCAGATAAATGCTAGTGCTTCCGAGCAGAAGCTGCAGGAAGTTGCAAGTCGGAATACTTCTTCGTAATGTTTTACTCGGATACCTTCTCGGAAAAATCTAATTAGCAAAGTAATAGAATTTCGTTTTTAATGAAAATTCTAAATGCTAAATGTTTATCTCCGAATCATCAGAAAGAAATCATTTTCTGCAACAGACCTCATGTCCAACAAGTAGCAATATAAATTCGATTTTACAAATGGTTACCTCAGTAAGTAGATACGTAGATGTAGATAAACACAGAGCAAATACATTCGTACAGAGATAGCCAGTATAGATACCTTTGCGGGAAGACAAAGTAGCTATGTCCGTAGAAGGGGCGGACAAAGTAGATATGTACACACACGAGTAGACAAACGAGATACTTCCGCAATCCGCACGCGAGCGGACGAGTTGTTAAAAATGATTTCTACTCTACGACAAATGTATAAAACGTACAAATACAGGATATATTTGAGATCAAGCTTTAATAAAATAATAAGACAGTTAGATGCGGACTAATACTAACAATAGCTTTTCATTATAATAAACCATGTTTGGTCAGATCGGTTATGGAACGACCATTAAGAATTCTGTTGTTGTGCTTTAAGATCAACATTTGACTGTGTCAAACGTATAGCTAATATCGACACTTGAGTATTAGGTATTTAGTATTTACATTTTTAACTGCGCAATAGAATAATACTTGTTAATGATAGAGCACGCTCTATCATTAACACAAAAAATTGATAAGATATTCAGGAAAGACATGTAACGATAAAATATCGTAATATTCATTTGTGCATTATTATTATTATTATTATTATTATTAGAGATCCGTTCAGTGCGTATCTTTTCCGGCCAGTCAATGCGTATCTTTTCCGGCTAAGATATGTCGCGCCGTCCGTCCGGGCGAAGGTCAGGATTTCCTTCGCAGGATTGTCGATAATGCAGTTACCATGCGGTGTGTATACGTCGGATCGCCTATCGATTTCGGCACCCAGTGACCTATTTTCCAATCGAGCTCGAGGGAGCTCTTGTAAGGATACGGATAGCATCGTTTTCGGCAAGAACAACCGCTAGCTTCCTCCGGAGGAACGATACAACGGCGCCTTTTTGACGCACTTCGCAGCGACGGGCAGCGTCAACATCCGTTCGCACGATTTACTTTTATACAAGTTACACTCTAACCAGGAAAATAACATATATATAAAATGTCACGTAAAATGGAGAATTTGATCAATATCTTATTATACGCTGATAAACCGGAAAGCTGTTAGTCAAATATTTTTCCAAACCTCCCTAAAGTTTTTCTACATGTATAGATTGAATGAATTTATGTACGTTGTGTACGTACATAAATTTAACACATTTATGTACGTATGTATTCTTGTGGGTGTAAATATTTTTATAAATCTAAATACTGCGAAATATTTTAATATAATAGATATAACAGGAACACTCGGTATATATCCCTTTGTTGAACAAAAAGTCATGATACAAAATAATTTTATTGCTGTTTAAATTATTTTACGTGAGGCCTTAGGAAATTATTTTCCTAAGGCGCATGTGCGGCACTGCATCAGAGCGACTGCATCGTTTAAATAAATTTGTGTTTTACCTCGATGATAATTGTTGCTCTTAGAGAACCTTTGATTTTTTGTCAAGGACTTTGGAGCATCAAGAAAGTATCGGATCGATCGTTACGAATAATGAAACCGTATTGATTGAGGTTGTTGTCCTCATGCGTGCCCGAATATGTCACGTGCGCATATAGGTATATATATATATATATATATATATATATATATGACTGAAAAATTGTATACTGCTTTTAATAATAATATCGTTTAATGGTATGGTGTTGAAATTAATTTTATATCATCATATCATCGATATATTCTAATGTCCTACTTGCATCAAGATGACAACCAAGGTATCGATCAATATAATTTAAATAGTGCAATTATCCGGTAAATAAAACATCGAATTTAATTTATTTGTGTGTAAAATCCGCAAATATTGATTAAAAGTATGAAATATACAGAGATAAAATACATATAGAGATGTAGATTAATTAATAATAATACTTCAAAAAATAACATGTATTTTGCTTAGATAGGAAGCTTCAGTTGTTTAATTGATTTAATTGTAAAATATCACTTCCAACTGTGCCAAATTATTTTCGTCGAAAAAAAAAACGAAGTTTTGAATGAAAAGGTGTAATTTAAGTGCAAACCGCGTTTATTTTAGAGAAAGTTTAATTAACACGATGCGCGAATGAAGTTATAATAATCCTTAAAACTTCGGCAGATCCGTCATTACGATAATTAGGATGCCCCACTTCGGAAAGCGACACGTGGGTGTTCGAGTGCAGAGTCTCTCACGATTAACGCGTTATCAGAGAATGACGTGTAAACTGAATTTCATTAAGCATCACGGTGATAATTTTCCACACGATAATGTGAGTTTGGATAATTTCTTTGAGCAAGATTTACACATTGACTTCTAACCATCCAATTACGATAACCAATTACGATAAACCCTCCAATTATGTCTTCATGTTATTCTAACGGAAAAATGTTATATACGTTTATAATTATATAAGAATAACTTTAAACTCCTTCCTTAATTAAAGACTCGGTAAAGATTTAAGGAAAGAATTAGTAGAGACTCAATTGAACAATTTAAGACTAAAGAATAATCAGCAAAAAATATTATTTCATTAAAGAAATGTAGAATTTCAGGCAGGAATTTCATGCATTAATATCCACTTCAATAGACAAATATAATGAAGAGTAACAATACTTTTTAAGATCCAGAAATGATAATTCTTATTAAACTCTCAGTGATAAATAAAGTTGCTAGAAATGAGGCAGCCAAGACAAATGCAATGATTGATGCATACGCACACGTGGCAGACAGCTGGGCAACTCCGGATAAATACGTTAAGTAAACACACATAAGTGAAAGGAAACATGTGAAACCTGCATTTCAATGCACCTGGCTATCATTATCGTTACAGATATGGCTAAAGCAGCAGAGACGGAATAAGCAAGTAAATGCTGACGAATTTTCTATATTCCGGAAATTAATTGTAAATTAGTTTAATCTTAATACAGTCGAACAAAAAAAATAAATTCCGAAATTGTGCTTGTTAAAAGATGTTTCAAATTAATATTATTTTTAACAACACAAATGTCATAGATATTCTAAAATTTTACTTTAAAAATAAAAATATATATGTCACTTATTTAATATTTAGAAATTATATGTTTTATTAATATGTGTAAGACGACGTAGTAAGTTTTATTCTGTTCGTTTCGTTTTATTTCGATTTGAATACAATTTAGCGTATCGCGATATCGATCCTTAATTGTGCTCTTGTTTAGAAGATATTGGGCATGTATATCGAATATGCATGATAAACGATTATCTTGTACGAGCAATTCGACGAGATTAATTTGAGCTGAATTAACTAGAAATATAATGTTATCTAAAATAACATGTAAAGAGATAATAATAACCTGAAATAATAGAATATTTAAACAAACTGATTATTAGTTTAAATGAAATTAAATATTAAAATACGTTTTAAAATTTGATGTTTACGATTTGATGTTTAAAAAATACAAAAATATAAATCTAAGAAATAAAAAAGATTCTAGATTCTATAAAGATAGAATTTAAAAATTTAATTCAATAATTTTAGTCACAATTGAATAATTTAAAATTCAAATATCTTAGAATACAAAATTGTAAATATTATACTCCTTTAAAAAGCAGCCTCATTTAATTTGTTTTATAAAAAATAATTTTGTTTTAATACTAAATGATAAAAATCTTAACTTCTTGAACTTTGATTTTTATTTATAAATTTTTTTTATTTATAGAGAAAGAAATATCTAGAGATATTTTATATAAGAAATGTAATGTTCTTCTTGTGTTATATTGTTAAACTTTCGCTAAATTATTCGAATTAGTATTTTGATCTTTTGATGTTTTTAGCAAAATACAAAAGATTGATACAACAAAAAATTGCGTGACGTCAACTGATAACAGAAAAATTGTTTATCGTGCAGGCTTTTTACGCCTTGCATTATATGCAATGTCGTAGGCAGGGCGGATCCCAAGAGTGCTGCCCCACCCGCGCATCGACACAAACTCCGTTAAAAACACGTTTCAAACCCGTTTTATCAAAAGAGGAAGTTGCAAAATCCAGTATTTAAATAGCTATTGGAAACACTGATCTGATTTCGAAGATGATTAAAAAAAAACGATGTCATTATAAGATTTCTATTATATTTTGATCAAAATTTCGTGGAAGATAAGATGATTCTTAATTCAATGAAGCTATATCCCTTTACTTTCTTTTGCATGTCTTATATGAACAAATTTAAAGTTTAAGTTTTCAAGATAATTACAATAAATTTTTTTTAAAGTAAAATAGTAAAATATATATATTTAATGTTGAATACATGTGTTAAGAAGGGGAGATAAAAGAGGATAAATGGAGAACGATATAAACTGTAGGGAAAGGAAATA